TGAGCTGATGGAATAATGTGGCATAATTCATAGTGCAACACTTACATGTGAACCGGGGAATGAAGGAAAGGAAATTCCGTGTAACTTTTTAAAAATGGCCTGCAACCCGGCCTTTGCTTAACTCTGCATTTGGGGTGCTTTGTGATTATACAATGTTCAGGTCTTCCTTACCCCCTTCTAAACTGCAAATGGGAAGAGATCTGACACTTCTGTGGCCCTGGAGTTTATCAGGGATCTGCATCCACTGGAAACGGTCATATCTCAGAATCTCTGGAGGAACCTCCCCATATTTTGCCATGTATAATGCACTCCTGTGTATAATGCTTACCCATATTTTAGGCCCAAACTTTCAGGAAACAAAATATTTCACTTTAATTTTTTAAAGGAGGGCGGAAGTGGCCCCACAATGGCACCTCCTTCTCTTCCGAGAGGCACTAGGCACAGAATCAGTGACTACACAGAAGCCAGGAGCAGGCCCTGGTGGCAGATGAAAGTGGTCTGGAGGACTTGAGCACCTGACCTCCCACAGCTGTCCCCGCCCAGCCCAGCCTCATTTCTGCACACTCTCATTTCTCATTACCACCTGCAGGCCCTGGGCTCCTAACAGTAGATCGCTGTCCTTTCTGCCTGCCTCGTCTTTTGTGAGGCTGGCCCCTTTCTTTTTTATTTTTTTTATTAATTTATTTTTTATTTCAAATTAATATAAGGGTAGAAATTTTTAGGTTACATTGTTCTTACTTCCAGGATAAAGTTCCATTTGTAAAAGAGCCCCCCACCTGGGGGCATGGCATAGTCCTCACCAGTGCACATTACGTGAGATCTCATGCCCTCCCTCCCTCCTCCTGACAATTGTCCTTCCCCCTCCTCTTTCCCCTTCCCATTTCCCTCTACCCCTGTACTAGACTATATTTGTGTTTTATAGTTCATATGAACATGTAGTTGTTTATCTATTGGTTTCATATTAGTATGGAGTACATTGGATATTTGCTTTTTCATTCTTGTGATACTTTACTAAGAAGAATGTGTTTCAGCTCCATCCAGGTAAATGTAACAGATATAAAATCTCCATCCTTTTACGGCTGAATAGTATTCCATGATATACTACAGTTTGTTGATCCATTCATGGGTTCATAGGCACGTGGGTAGCTTCCACAACTTGGCAATTATGAATTGAGCCCCAATAAACACTCTGGTGCAAATGTCTTTGTGGTAAAATGATTTTTGTTCTACTGGGTAGATACCTAGTAATGGGATTGCAGGATCAAATGGAAGGTCTACCTTTAGATCTTTGAAGATTCTCCATCCTTGCAGAAAGGCTGTATTAGTTTGCAATTCCACCAGAAGTGTAGACGTGTTCCCTTCTCTCCACCCTTTCCAAGACCCCTGGGACGCAGCCCTGAGGAGGAAGGCTTCCCACTGATACCCAGTGGGAACGCAGTGAAGTACGCTGCATTTATATTAATGAATAATGACTAGACCTTGACCTCATTGAGCCATGAAGAACTTGGGCACTCAGTAAAGGTCAGAATGACTGACACAAGCCTTTCCCAAACTTACAATCCAGGGGACTTGGTTAAAATGAGACTCCTACACCACATCCAAATATACAGAATCAGCTCTCCAGGAGGATGTCCTAGATATCTGTTCTGTTAACAAGCATCCTAGATGGTTCTTCCTACTGGCAAGATTGGGAAATTATACAGTTCAACACCTTGGGAGTTTGGACAAGTCCTAGGCTCAAAATTACAATCTATAGGCTCAGGTACCCCTGAGCTTTTGTGCTTTGCTGCCAGTATCCTCACAGACGGAAACTTCATGGGGACTAAGGCTTAAGGTCACAGCAGTGGGCTGGCTACTAATAGAACCAGGTCTCAAAACCCAGGTGTCCCTGATCCCAGCTCAGGGATCTTCCTCCTCAGCATGATGTTTCAGGGGCCTCAGAACAGGGCCAGCTGCAGAAAAGAAGAGGCAGCCCAGAAAGGGCAGAGATCCACGGTCAAGCGCCTGGAGAAGATAGTGCTGGCCCTGCCCCTCACACCAGCTTCCTGGGAAGTAAGCCTATTGGGGTTCTTAGTGGAGTGGTTGTGGCCATGTTCACATAGACAGACATGGATGAGAATAGGAAATGAGAGGATATGGAGACAAGGGTAGGCCAGGAGGGGACATGTGAGAGAGGTTGGGTGCTGAGGTCTTCTGGACCACTCTCATCCGCTGCCTGGGCTTGTTCCCAGCTCCTTCACAGCACCTAGCTCTGTGCCTCATGCCTCTCATGAGAGAAGGAGGTGCCCCTGAGTGGCCACTTAATCCTCCTTTCTCCAAGGCCTCAATAATAAACGTGTGTCACTGTCAGCAGTGCTCTCATTTCCAAGATGGCAGCAGTGTCTAGCACGATGGAGTGGACAGGCTGGAGGCTCCCACAGCTACAGTGCCTGCCCAGTGAGGAGACAGCTGGGGAAGGGGCAGTGCAGAGAGTATGCAGCTACCGTATTCCACGGTATAGTTTGCATGCAGATATCGTTATTGCTCTCTAAAATTACACCTTTCATGCATAGGCATAAATAAAAGAATTAAAAACTTACATATATATGGAATTACTACTACCCATGTATAATGCACATCCTTATTTTTCCCTCAAAAATTTGGGCAAAAAAGTACACATTACATTTGGCAAAATATGGTAATTTGCTAGTAACAGGGGTCAGCAAAGTGGCTCTTCTCCAGATCAATGGATCTTGACACAGAGATAGATAAAAATAAATAAATTTGAAAGAGAATAAATTCGAACCCAAAAGTTCTCCTTCCTTTTGAGACCCAGGGGAGAAGAAAGCAGAAGGGCTGGAGCCGAGAAAAGTAGTCAAGGTTTAGAGTTCCTTCTCACTGTAGGGCTCGTGCTGACGCGGGACAGAGGAAACAGAGTTGTCCGTAGAGCCACGTTCTCAGAGAGGGGTTCTTTCACAGCCAAGGGAAGGAGAACCCTTCGAGGGTCCCTGAAGCTTCAACAACAGCACAGGCCAGGTGAGTCTTGTTCCCTTGGGCTGGCCCACCAGGTCTCTTATTTTCTTTTTAATAGAATCATCAGGCTCTGACTCTCTGTGTGGAGGTTGGAGGGTGGGGCAGACTAATCGCCTCAAGGGTAATCACATGTGAGATTGTCTCAGTCCATAAATGAAAACATTCCCTTCCTTCAACCTCCCAGGCTTCCTAGACAGCCAAGCCAGAACTAGAGACCAGGTACCAGCTGGTTTGCTGGGAGTGAATGGATAGATCAGGGTTTGAGACTTCCTCAAATACATGGAGGTTATCAAGCACTCGGGGGTTGGGGCATCCCTGAGAATACAACATAATACTTTTTACAACTCCCATCTGCAGTTCCTTTTCCCTGCGTCTCTGATCAGAGGGCTCTGAGAACACTTTCATACATGGCTGAAACAAAGTTTCATTTTAAATAACATTGGCACCTAAAGTCAGTCTACTACCCACAGCTTGGCTTTGTGTCAGCCAGTTTTATAGCTGGGAACTGCAACCTTTAACTACCCTGAGAGGATAGTGTGGTATGATGGCCAAAGAGGGTCTTATTAGAAAATGTTGCACACTTAGAAAGTCCAGAGACAAGGATTGCTCCAGCTACCTGCACGTGGGGGCAGGTTAGCCTGAAGTGAGGTCTTTGCTGGGCTGTATAACTGTGTTGAGATTGATAGTAAGGAAGTAATGTCCTAGCCCTTGTTCTCATGACCAGCTGCAATGATTTTCCAGAGTAGGACTAAGTCACTCTGGGAGATGGGGA